GGGGTCCACGCAGGAGGAGAGAGGGGGAAGTGGGGTGCTCATGCAGGAGGGCAGAGGAGGAAGGGGGGTTCATGCAGGAAGCGAGAGGAGGAAGTGGGGTGTCCATGCAGGAGGTGAGAGGAAGTGGGGTGTCCATGCAGGAGGTGAGGAGGAAGTGGGGTGTCCCTGCAGGAAGAGTGAAGCCCCAGCAGAGACAGGGCTGGTCCCACGAGGGGAGGGCCGAGAGGGTGGGAGCAAGGCCGAGCGGGACCCGGCACCGTGGGGAGGTTCCACACGATAATACTCGTGGACAGGAGACCTGACGTTGTTTGCCCTCCCAGACACCCCCTGCCAGAGTCCAAGTCCCCAAGGCCGATCCCAAAACTCCCCGGGAAGCTCTGGCAGAAAAGGGCCCGTCCATTCAGGGACAGCGATGGCCGGCCAGGCACGGTGCTGAGCGCACCGCGTCCACACAGGAGGTCACAGAGAGTTGCAAATGGCCACATGGACAGGTGCCCGGCTCTTGCGCTATCGAGAAAATGCAGATCAAAGCCACTCTGAGCGAACACTGGTGGCGCCTTAAAGACACGTAACATTACCAGCGCTTCCCTCCCGAGCATACACCCAAAGAAATGAAAACGAGGACGTGGACAGAACCCCACGCCACAGTGTTCACACGGCTTGAGTCACAGCAGCCAAAAGGCGGCGCCAGCCCAGGTGCCCATCACAGAGGAAAGGACAAACACTCCACCCGTCCACCGTGGAACACGACTCGGCCACGAAAAGGAGCCAGGCTCTCGCCCAGGCCACGGCGCGGGCGCACCTGCAGGATGTCACACTCAGTGAGAGACGCCATTTATTTATTTATTTTCCAAGACAGAGTCTCGCTCTGTCTCCCAGCCTGGAGTGCCGCGGCGTGATGCCACGTCTACCTCCCGGGTTCAGGCAATTCTCCTGCCTCAGCCTGCTGAGTAGCTGGGACTACAGGCGCCCGCCACCACGCCCGGCTAATTTTTGTATTTTTAGTAGAGATGGGGTTTCACTATTGCACCCAGCTGTGTAATTCCATTTCTTTTCTTTTTTTTTTTGAGACAAAGTTTCCCCTCTATTCCCCAGGCTGGAGTGCAATGGCGCCATCTCGGCTGACTGCAACCTCCGCCTCCTGGGTTCAGGCAATTCTCCTGCCTCAGCCTCCTGAAAAACTGGGATTACAGGCACCTGCCACCACACCCAGCTAATTTTTGTATTTTTTAATAGAGATGGGGTTTCACCATGTCGGCCACGCTGGTCTCGAACCCCTGACCTCAGGCGATCTGCCCGCCTGTCTCCCTAAGTGCTCATTACAGGCGTGACGCCACCTTGCCCGGCTGTTTTTATCCAGTTTCTATGAAATGTCCACGACAGACCAATCCAGAGAGATAGGAAGGGATGCATGGGGGCTGGGGGCTGGGGGGATGAGGAGCGCGGGTGTGAGGTGCAGCTTCTGTCTGGGGAACGAGAAAGTTATCAACGTGGGCAGTGGTGACGGCTGTGCAACAGCAAGAATGGGCTTAATGACACTGATTCACAGATTTTTAAATGGTTAACTGGAAAATTGCCTAATAAAGAAGAAAAAAACCAGCTGGGCGCGGTGGCTCACACCTGTAATCCCAGCACTTTGGGAGGCTGAGGCGGGTGGATCACGAGGTCAGGAGTTTGAGACCCACCTGTCCAACATGGTGAAACCCCGTCTCTGCTAAAAATACAAAAATTAGCCCGGCATGGCGGCGCCTGCCTGTAAGCCCAGCTACTCCGGAGGCCGAGACAGGAGAATTGAACCGGGGAGGCGGGGGTTGCAGTGAGCCGAGATCATGCCACTGCACTCCAGCCCGCG